AAAAAAAAAAAAGAAGGAAACGGAGAGGATCCAGGAACGAGGGAATTTTTCAGGAACCAAAGATGATTAATGATACAGAGAAAAACAAAAAACAAAACACAAAACAACCCAGCCTATCTGACTGATCAAGAAGATACCCTTTAGCATATATTGGCAACTAAACAGCATATATATATTTCACACCAATAATACAAACACTAAAATGAGTGTTTCTTTACTATTATTAATCACAGTTCAATAATTCATTAGCTCTATATTTTCTAGATTGCTTAATTCATTTAGCAAAACCCACGGCTTAGGTACCACCGCAAGGGGCGGGGGGGGGGGGGGGGGGGGGTGCAGAATGAAGCAAACTTGGAATCAGACTTTTGTAAACCAGAGTTAGTAGCACAGTGGCACAGTAGATTGTCAATGAACACGACAGGAGTGGTACAGTTATCGGCCTTGTGAGTGCAGTATTGCTGGCTACAAGGGAGGGACTTCAACTCAGGAGTCTACCTTCTTGTTAATTAAAATTGAGCAGCATGTGAGCAGCCCATCCACCTTTTCCAGTTCAGAATGGCTCACGGGGATCAGCATATGGTCCTTCAGCTTCTCATAAACCTGCAGCAGGAATCAAGGAAAGGTAAAGAAGAAGGATTGTGCCTCTGCCTCTGTCTTACCCTACCCCCACCTCCTTGCCTAGTGCAGAGAATTAATGTGGCTTGCAAGTTTAGGCATCTCAGCCATGTAACCCCAAGATGTGCATGCAATCTAGACCACATATGTGCCCACAGCCATACTGATGGAGCTAGCAGCACTGGTTAACCACCAGCTCTATGCTTTAACCTCAAAGGCAAAGATGTGTCAAAAATGTGGTTGTTACTAGAGATGCCTTCACTCTGCCGTTGTCACTGGGAGATTGAGTGATACGTGAAAGCCGGTGGCAGTGTTTTCAGCCTCAATAGTACTCTCCCTCTCCACACTTTAAAACCCTCTTAACTGTACTTTAGTGTTTCTTTCCTTACCAACACCACTGGAAAAACCTGACAAAACAGAATTTAAATGAAGTATTTCAGGTCAAACTGCTTTTAAATTACAGGTGTGAATTTTATAGCATCTTTTGACACTAATAGAAAGCATGTGTCAAAACTTCAAATTAACAGTCCACAGATTGTTCTCTGATGATCAAACAAAGCACATTTAAAAAAAAACAACAACAAAATCCCTTGAAAACACACTGTCTAAAAGCAATCTACCCTGCTTCTTCAGGAAGCACTTTGCTCCTTAACATTCAGTACAGTGGTTAATTAAGAGTGCTGGAGCCAGAGCTGGGCTCCAAACCCAGTTCTGTCAACTCACCACCTAAAGTGTGACTTCAACCAAAATGCCATGTCCCCTCTTAGCCTTGGGTTACTACTCTGTAAAATTAGAGTAGCAAGAGTGCCCTCCCAGGGCCGCAGTAAGGAATCAATAAGATAATGCACGCAGCGCACTTGGCCCAGTGCCTGGAGCAGGGGAAGCCTCAGTGAACATGGATGCTATCATCGTTACTGTTGATAGACACAGGACTGAATCCAGAAGAGGTTAATCATCATCTGGTTGTCAGATGATCACTGTGGCTGGAGAAGCAGGAACGATCCAGAGCTGTGTTTCTCCAAGTGAGTGCGGTGACCTAGGTACTTGTTGGTATTGCAGATTCTAGGATTCTAGGGTGCAGATTCTAGATCTAGGAACATGCTTTTTTAACAAACCTGAGGCACAATAAAATATGAGACCCACTATTCATCTGAGAGCTGGTTAATCCCCAGTATGAGGTAAGGGGTCCTATAGTTTCCTCAGCGTCACACTTTCCGCCATGGAAACAGAGAAATCATCTATGTATCTCCCCACCATTTTCTTTTAATCTGCCAAGAAGGTGACTAATTAAGATAAGCCTAGTAATTACACAATATCACATATTTAAAAGATAGCCAAAACATTTTCTAAAATGTTTAAAGATGTAAAATTTTAAGTTAGATGTAAAAAAAGATGAGTGGTTATCAAAGGCTCTTGTGTAATGCTCAGTATGAATATCTTATTCCTTCAGGCAGAGCTGAAGATGCTGAAATGCCTAAAACAGATATGGACATGTGGAGGGCCTATGGATGAGCACTGTTGTGTCTCCGTGGTTAAAGTAAACTGCAGTTGCTAAAGTATACAAATGAGACTGGCAGAATGCCCTGAAAGACAAAGCAACATCTTCTAAGACCAGAAAGAATTCCATATCTAGGGACAATTCCCTTGTTGGCACATAAATGCAGAGGCTCTTAGAGGGACAGGTAGGTGCCTGACTGCAAGTATATTTTCTTTTTGCTCTTTCTGATCCTTTGCTACCTGGGGTGTGCAGCCCAAAGCCCTTCTTTTTGTAGCCCTGACAATTAGCGGCCACCTCTGGGTCATTCATACTTCTCTGCCATAAGAAGCTAATGACGTTCTGAGGAAGGGCAGCTCACATTTGTCCGAAAACAATTCGAGTTGACCATCTAATTGTAGGTGTCTATGCTTAATGGGTATTTAAGTGTGGGGAGGTATGTGTAATCAGAGCTGGAGCACAGACTTAGGAGATCTAAGTACTTATTTGAAAAGTTCTGAATACCAGACACAATCACCTCAACTACTGTGCACACATTAGTGACCAATGACATGAATGAGAAGCGTGAGTTAAATCAAACTTTCCTTGTGACCTATATTATTCTTTCTGCTTTCATAATGATTTGATGTGTATAGAGGAAAAGGAAGTGCCTGTTATTTGTCACTCCATCATGAAAAAATTCCCTAGGCAGGAAGACTGTCATGGAGGCTTATTCAGCTGCAGTGGCCAGGAAGGAGGGTTTTTTACCTTTGCACTTTCTGGATACTCTTCTGGGGTTCGGTGTAGCAAGACGTGGCCTTTGTTGGGGATATTTAGGTATATACAGTTCGCGGCCATGTCATCAGGCACAGTGAGTTTGTCATAGCGGTGGTCACTCATCTGTTGCATGATCTATAAAGAGAAACAAAGCAGGTTTAAGCAGAGCATTTCCCCACACTTTCAAACAGAAGGAAGGCAGTGTGTGGGAATAAGCTTGCAACGGATGCCTAAGAATGTTCTTGTCAAGTTCCTGCCCATTTCCTCTAGTCATTGAGAATCCCAGGAGGAAAACTCGAAGAAGCTATGATTCTTTGGAAGAGCTGGAAGGGTTCTTCTTGTTTTGTTTTGTTTTATGAAAGTGTGCATTTGTGTGTAATTTTAAAAAGGTTTTAAAACTGTCCATAATTTTTTGTTTTTGCTCATAAGATCTATCACTAAGACATGAAATGGACACATATACAAAGGCCCAGCGGGGGTTTTGATGATATTCTTGGCTGAGTAAGAAGGGCTGCCCTGCTCTATAGGAAAAAGGGTCCCTAGTGGTAATCATTCTGGTCAATAATCTGATTTAGTAATAACCGCCCCCCCCCCCAATTTCCTTTGGTAGATACATTTAAATTGAATTAACCTGTTACAGGTGATGTCCTTAATACAATAAACATAAAAATCACTTGAGAATGTTAAACTCCTATTCCTAGGTCTCACTAGGTCTCATCCCCAGGGATTCTGGTCTGTCAGATTTGAAGTGAGGCACAGAAAATTTGCATTCTAAACCTCTCCAGGTAATTCTGAGGCAGATGGTCCCTAGACCACACCTGGTTAAAAAACAAACAAACAAAAAACCTGATGTAACAGGTCTATTCATCAAATGATGGGATTATTAATGCCTTACTATAAAAATAGTTTAAAAAAATCACAAAAATGAACTTTGCACAAAATTTAAAAATTGATCTCATTCTCGTCTTTTCAAAAAAAATGAAAACAAAAATCCAAAAAACAACCACAACCTCACTACAAAAATATCGAAACACCAAACAAACAAAACGAAAACAAAAAACAACCCCACAACAACTTAAATATATCTTGGGCTTCGCTATGCAGACTCTTTCCATTCTTTATCAATATCCATACATTATAAGGAATTTGCTGAAATGTCATGCCATAACGGTATACCAATATCTTTTCCACAATCTGGCTTGATCTACCTTTCCAGCCAGGTCTTCCTTTATCCCTTAATATTTGTATGGAAATGTGCTTCATATTATTAGGCCTCAGAATTCGGAAGCCTTGGCCACTCACTTGTGGCAGCAATGGACAGCAAGATTCACAGTATGGAAGAGTGCAAGAGACAGCACGTTCCCTGCAGAAAATTCATTCCAAAGACCACGTGAAGGGTGGCATATGGTAAGCTCCTACTGACCCACCAATCAGGTCAACTGCTCACTTCTCCTAGTGTGGAATATGTCAAGAGCCGGGAAAGAGCAAGAGGAATCTGATAATGGAATATCCTTGGCACAGAAGGAAACATCAGCAATGGGGATGAGCTTAAGCACTATATCAAAGGCTGAGAGACAAAGATGAGTAAGACACAGATCCAGTGTTTGCAGAGGTTATAGGCTAATGGAGGAGACTGGCAAACAATTATACTACAATAAGAACAGGCAGGGCACCATGGAAAACATTGAAAATTTATTATCTAGTCTCAAAATTCCCATTTTATAGATGAACAAACAGGACTGATAGAGAAGTCAAATAACTTGCTCAAAGTCATACAGGTAGATTTAAACCCAAATCTGTGCAACTCAAAACCTTTCTTAATCATCTTACTTTGCTCTCTTTCTTGACCTCCAGAGCTGCAGCACATCTCGCTTTCCTATAAACTACTATAACATCTCCTTTTCTGTACTCATTTGGTACTTATTATTTATTGTCCTGTGGTATCACTAACTCTTCTTTCATATGTAATCCTATTCTGACATGGTACAGTTTGGTATAGTTATAGGACTTGACTGGACATTTCTCTTGCACTTTTAAATTGTTTCCTAAAGGGATGGATCCAGAGAGGGTGTCATCCGATGGGTTGGTTCTTCTTTAGAGCCCTGATTGAGAAATCTTAGATCTACTTGGATATGTGGACATTTAAGAGGTTAAAGACACTCCTGGGGCACCTGGGTGGCTCAGTCAGTTGAGTGTCAGACCTCAGCTAAGGTTGTGATCTTGCGGCTTGTGGGTTTGAGCCCCATGCTGGGCTCTGTGCTGACAGCATGGAGCCTGCTTTGGATTCTCTGTCTCCTTTTCTCTCTGCCCCTCTCCAGCTCATGCTCTCTCTCTCAAAAATGAAATAAAAATTAAAAAATAAAAATGAAGAAAAAGTGTATAAAAATGAGAAGTTAAAGACACTCCTAAAGTGTAACTACTCTAAGCAAATTAAAAACATATTCAACTTAGCCCTCTTTATAAAGTGGGTATGTCCAGAAATAAAATGGAGAGGCTTATTTAAGAGAAAAACAATGCATATCCAAGTAACCCTCTTCTATTATGAATTTCTATGTAAACACATCTTATGCAGACTTTCTTTTTGGCTGCTTTCAAAACACATTAATAGTAGCTTTCACTGTATGGGAGGGGGCACATTAAACCATTAACTCTGGAGTGACCCCTGGGTTTGAGTCTCAGCTCTAGGCTTTAAATGTAAATTTAAGCTTTTTGTTTGTTTTTTGACTTCTTGGTTTCCTCACTATAAAACTGGGATAATAATAGCCTTTGATACACTTATTGTGAAAGTACATGAAGATAATGTATATAATGAGACACAGTAATAAGCCCTTAATAAGCTAATAGTATTTTATGGCAGCATGACCAGCCAAGTAGGGGTCAAGTTTCTAGTCTGCAATCAGAAAGAGGTAGGTCTGAATCCATGCTCTGCTATACACTAACTGTGTGACCTTGAGCAAGTCACTTAAGCTCTCCAAGGCTCATTTTCCTCAACTGTAAAATGGGATGACAATGTCATACCTATTTCCTATAGAGTAATTCTGAAGGTTATTTTAAAAGACAAAGCAAAAGAGATTATGTCTGTAAAGTGCTTAGCACAAGTTCCTAGTACATATTCAATGTGTAATAAATGTGCACCTTTCCCTCTTTGTTTCTTGCAAGTCATTTGGCATCTAGCAGGTGATCAAAATATGCTTGCAACTAATTGATTCATTTCTTCACCCCTTTCAAAGGATATAGCAAACTTCAAGAGTATACTGAGATGTTCACAATTATGTATGTGAACAACTGCATGTATAAAAATGAGGTACGGTCTACATCCAGAAAAAGAAACACAATTCATTTGTTAATGTGAACCGGGCTAAACCAGTGAGGCCAATGTTTGTCTTTTTCCTTATGCTGTACAATAGGACACTATACCCTGTGGTCCTAACCCAAATGATTTTGGATGTAAGATAATAGGAAGTGGTGGACCTGGGGCAAACTAGACCTGAAAGCATTAAAACAGAGAAAGAAAAGAAAAAACCTTATGTATATCAAACTGAACACATACATGTCTCTGTCAGTTTGTGACCTGTGATTTAGTGAAATAGTCCAGAAGCTCAATAAGCATGTTGATTTCTTCAAGATATAAGTGGAGCTATCTCTAAACGCAAGACAAAAACTAGGATTTATAAAACTTCTCTTCAATTTCTCTTAGTCAGTCTGGCCAGCATGTTTCTTTCTGGGTGCAGGGAATAGAACTGCATGATGTCTGAATCTCTGTTGTGTGTTGTTGAAGGTGGGCCAAGATGGTTAGTCTGCTCATTTACAGTTAGAACTATCATCCTTCATGTGGATTAGATACAGTTTATCTGAGAAGTTTATGATTTCTTCCAGACCACCGGGAGACAGTTCCCTGGGCCAAAGGTTTACTAAGTGGGACCTCAGTGATTCAAGGACTTCCCAAAGATCCTTAAAAAACATGGTATGTACAGCCATTGTTACCTGGTCAAGCTCAGACACAAAGAAAACAAAATCCAGAAAACTGAATATTTCCATTGACCCGATTTTCTAATCAACTGGGAGAACTGTGGGCAGCCCATTTTAGTCTATCACATTAGGCTAGTTGCTCCCACCATTCATAAGCACTAGATAATTGCCAGTTGGTTTTCCATCTGCTCTACAGATGATTCGCTGCATTCTTTATCCAAAGGTAAAGAAATCACCTATCCCTCCTGAGATGAGTTGAAAGAGAAAGAAGCATGGCAAAATCACACAGATAGGCCTGACTATACCTTCAATGGTCCCATGAGCAGCCCCGCCAATTTTCCCACCTCGCAGTCTGACTCATGCATGTCCGGTGGTGACAATGAAGTAGAAACATGGAATGTTGTACATTCCAGAGGAAGTGTTATCAGGGATCGTTATCAGTGCTGACTTCTTGTTTATCAGTGAGGGAACAAACTAAAATCTCCAAGGTAGTGCCTACTTCAGAAAGTGCCCAGTTTCTTCTGAGTAATGGAGACTGCAGATTTCCTTTCGTGGTGTGCTTTATTTACTTGGGTTCCATCTCTTTCTACCCTCTCTCCCATCCCCCACTCTCACTTCCTTGAGTGAACAATCCTGCCCCCTTGGTGCCTATGTGTTTGCTTTGTTGACATTTATTTGAAACTGTAATCACTGCTTTTCCTCACTCTTTGGTGTTTCTCTTTTTTCCAGACCTTATATTTATAATTTATAGCTTCTGGTGGGAGTATTCTCAAAATTACTGACATCAGAGCCAGTAGCCAACATAGCATTGTTTGAGGATAGTTTCATTTTTTTTTTTTTTTCATTACTGTCAGGAAAGGAATAATAACACCCTTGGTGGAGAAATAATTTAATACTGGGAATAGATAAAGTAACTCACCAATAAATTCTACTGAGAGTTATTCTTAAAATAAATGTCTTAACAAAGCCACCTTAGGAGAAGTTTTTCAATCAATTTATCAAGGTCCCACGGTTATCATTTTAAGACAGGTTAAAAATGTGCCAAAAGAAATGACTTTTAATAATAGAACAGGTCCCATTTGGAGCAGTGAGTGGTTCTGTTTAACTGTGGAAAGGAGAAAACACAAAAGCAATGCCAGGTGTAGTCTTTCTAAATGAAAAGGATT